TGACAGAAATTGCTTAGCGTGGCACGTAGCTCGCGCGCTTTAGATGCGAATTCAACGAATCTGCGTATACACTTGCTATAATCTTTTATAATAAAATAGGAGCTTTTGTATGTAAGAGACCTTTAGATGCGAATTCAACGAATCTGCGTATACACTTGCTATAATCTTTTATAATAAAATAGGAGCTTTTGTATGTAAGAGACCTTTAGATGCGAATTCAACGAATCTGCGTATACACTTGCTATAACCTTTTATAATAAAATAGGAGCTGTTGTATGTAAGAGACCTTTACATAATAGCACGAACATATTTACACACTTCTAGTGAAGATGTGTTCATGATGGTAGTGAGATGCATCTGTTGAACGCTTCGTGTGGTGAGGGTAGTGTGTCAGATGTGGATTTACTTACATATAATCTAGTATCTTGTTAGTATCTAGTACTAGTAGCTACTACTATCATCATCATTCTGCTTCTCACTTAAACCTAGCTGAATCAACATCACTATTTCATAACTACATTTCTTTCAGACTATCTTGTGTGTGTGTGTGCGTGCGTGCGTTCGTGCGTGCGTGCGTGCGAGCGTGCGTGCGTGTGGGTGTATGTGCGTGTATGTGTGTGTGTGTGTGTGTGTGTGTGTGTGGTTAATGTGCGTGTGTGCGATTGTGTCGCGCGCGTGTGTGTGTGTTGTGTGTGGTGGTAGTGTGTGTGTGTATGGTGCGTGTGTCGTGTTGTGTGTGCTGTGTGTGTGTTGTTTGTCGTGTGTGTTGTGCTGTATGTGTTAGCTGTGTGTAGTGCTGTGTTGTGTGTGTGTGTGTGTGTGTGTGTGTGCGCTGCACAGCGTGCCCCTCGTGTGTGTGTGTGATGTGTGCTGTGTTGTGTTGTGGTTGTGTGTGTGTGCTGTGTGTGTGTGTGTGTGTGTGTGTGGTGGTGTGTGTGTGGTGTTGCTGTTGTGGTTGGTGCATGATGTGTATGCCGAGTATATTCTACAGCTTACCTTGTGATTGCGCGTTCGTAGCTCTCTTCTCGTCTCTCTCTCTGTTCGATCTCTCTCGCTCTCTCTATCTTTTTTTTCTCGTGTTCTCGAATTCTCTCTCACCAACAACCGAGTTACCTGTGAGACAGTGTTTGTCAGATGTGAGGACTGGATGTCCGTGGTACTTGGCCATTTATTCTTGCATCGTGAGCGAGCAGCTGCGTATATATGGTCAGTTCTTAATCGAGCATCGTCATCGACAAAATGCGTTCCAAATTCTGGTTCAACATATGGTAGGCAGTGGCGTAGCTATGGGGGCCAAAGAGGGCATGCCCACCCCTGGTTGATCCAGAATGTAAAACTAAAAAAAATAAAAAGAAAGAATTGTTCTATCTCTCAAAAAGATAAAATTGTCGCTAGCAGAAATGAAGGCTGTATCATGTACCAAAGGTGGCTCAAATACTATCCACCTGCGATCAAACATTTTAGAAATGTTCTGGGGGATAGACCCCCATTACCTCCCCGCCCTGTTTTCACCCTGCCTCTTATATATTCGTTGGCAGCAGTGCAGAACACAAACACACAAAGATGTCGGCCTTTATGCATGGCGCTCCCAAACAAATGATTGCTCGAGCTGAGGAGGTGGAGAACGTAGGTGTAGCGAGGCAGGCGGAGGTAACACATTAAATATAAGTGAGTCATCTACCATTTTTGCGCATGTTCGTCTGTTTTGTTTTGGCCACCCCCCCCTCTTAAATAAAAATTCTAGGCTACGCCATTGGATGTTGGACGTGACCGAGTTTCCTTGTGTCGCCGACTTGCATGCACCATAGATGGTGTTCAGACGTTTTAACATCTCTTGATTAATTCAACGTGTTCTAGTGTACGCTAGCAGTACACGCGTGCCGGGCCGTAATAGAGCTTATTGAATATACCACATGTCTGTGATATACTGTGTCTGTGACTTACTGATGTTTGTCAGAGACATTGCTACTTGTGGCGGTGACATATTACTTAGTATGCCTGTGGCATTTAATGTATTGGCTAAATGTCAAGTGGACATATCTGGTGCCTCCGCGACGTAATAGTGTCAAGAGGCACACCTACGTCGTCTTGAACGTTCTAAGCAAGTTTTGTAGCCCGGAATGTTTAGTCGTAGTAGCGCAGGTGTGCGGCGGCCGCGTGCGTGCGTACGTGCGTGTCGTTGTGGTGCGTTGCGTGCATCGTCATGTGTCACATGTCAATGTAAAGCATTGTTAATTCCACTGTCTTTCGTCTTGCTGATGTTTTTTCGTACGCTTGACGTAGACCGAACGTGTCAGCGTGCAGAGAGACATGCGGCAACCCAGTAACTCTCCGCCCAAAGATGTTTCTATACTAAGAATATAGCAGCGAGAGGAAGAGAGAAGAGTACAGGGAAGAGAGGGGCAGGAAGAAGGGATGAGCAGAAAGAGAGAGGAATACAGGGAAATAAAAGGGCGAAGCGAAAGAAAGACGAGCGAGAGAGACCGAGCAGCGAGTGAGTCGAGTGAGAGAGAGAGAGAGGAGAGAGAGGAGAGAAGAGAGAGAGAGAGATGGAGGAGAGGAGAGAGAAGAGAGAGGATATGAAGAGAGTAGGGGAAGAGAGCTAAAGTGAGAGATTCGGAGAAAGCTAGAGAAAGCGAGAGTGAGGTGAGAAAAGAGAGAGAGAGAGAGAGAGGAAGAGAAAGAGTAGGGGAAGAGAGCTAAAGTGAGAGATCGGAGAAAGCATAAAGAAAGCGAGGAGAGAGCGGATGTGAGACAAGTTGAGAGAGAGATCACTGCGAAACTGCACGAGTGAGAAAGAGAGAAGAGAGAGAGAGAGAGCAGAGAGAGGAGAGAGAGAGAAAGAGCTAACAGAGAGTGAAAGAAGAGCGGTGTGAGAGGAGAGAGCGCGAATGAAAAGACGTGAGGATGAGAGTGAGAGTGCGAATCGAGAGAGAGAGAGACCGAAAGAGATGGGAAGAAGAGAGGGAGAGAGAGAGGAAGAAAGCGCGCGCGAGAAGAGAGAGAGAGAGAGCAAAGCAGAGAAGAGGAGAGAGAGAAGAGAGATGAGAGTGAATGTGAGAGAAAGAGAGAGCGAGAGAGAGAGAGATGATGAGAAAGCGCGCAGCGAAGAGAGAGAGATGTATGAACAGAGAGAGATGCACTAAAAGTGAGCGATACAAAAAGAAAGAGTATAAAGAAGTATACTCCAAAATGCCATAGACAATGAAAAGCATGAAGCCATACAATGAGATGAGAGACAAAGAGCCACCAGCAACAAGACACCACAGAGAGACCGAGCACCCACAGAGAGGGAGCACAGCGATGCACGAAGAAGACCCACACACACACCACACACAACAACACACACACACCAACAACACAGCCACAGCATACCACAACATACACACATACATATCATACATTACATACACTACATCGTAACCATACATAACATTACATACCATTACATACATACATACATACAGTAGCATACATACTTTCCACCTCCCACCTCCGCACCTCCCGCGCTAGACCGAGT